TGTGTGTGTGTGTGTGTGTGTGTGTGTGTGTGTGTGTGTGTGTGTGTGTGTGTGTGTGTGTGTGTGTGTGTGTGTGTGTGTGTATTGATCCTGTGGATACATCTATTGATCGTGTGTGTTTTTCTCTCTCTCTCCCCTCCCCAGTTTTCAGCTCACTGGACATGTCTCGGTCGGTGTCGGTGACGGCGGCGGGCCAGTGTCGCCTGGCCCCCCTCATCCAAGTCATCCTGGACAGCAGCCACCTGTACGACTACACCGTCAAGCTGCTGTTCAAGCTGCACTCCTGTGAGTGACGAACACCCCTGTTGGTCAAACTGCACACCGACAGGCTAATAGCACACTGTACAGGTTGTTCAGTTCTGGTCAAGTTACAAATATTGTGCAGTTAAAGGGAAACACATGGCAGTGAGTCGTTGTTTATGAACTTCATTTCAAAGCTAGTGGTCATCAGTTGGGTTGCCATGCAGAAATTAACTTGTTACGGTGCAAATTAGAGTTCAGACCTTATTAAAAATGTGTTATTGTAATGTCAATTGAATCATTTAGTCAGTATTTTCTTACCAACTCTCTCTTTACTTGACGTAAATCGCTCGTTTCAACCTGATGAATGCCACCTATTCATGAGGGCGGTGCACGTTGATAGGATTTAATCATTAGCATAATCAATTCTCGTAAACGGATAAGCAAGATTCATTCAGAAAAATGTCTGTAAAAAGCTGAATGTCACACCGCAGAGCTTCAAGTCCTGCTGTTAGAAGTCAGCAGACGAAGAGAAAACAAGTTTCGCAGTGTCTGTAGTGGGTTAATAATTAATTTCCTTATGAGTTAATCTGACAATTATTTTCATGATTCATCATTTACTCTACGAGAAAAGGTCAAATAGAAGTGAAAAACAGCCGTTACAACTTTCCAGAGCCCATAGTGATAAATTGTTTTATCTGACCAACAGTCCAGAATTAAACAATATTTCGTCTTCTATCAAACGTTATAAAAACAAGATGCAAATCCTCATATTTGAGAAGCTGGAACCAGCAAAGATTTGAAATTAAGATACCTGCCGGCTGATGTTTTTCGATCTTTGCTGCTCCAGTCAGGAGTTGTATTATGTGACCTGGAACAAAAACTGTAAGAATATTAAAACAGTAAAATATTAATGATGTGTCAGAAATAAAGACAGAATGAAGGTTAGATCTGCAAATAAAATCATAAAAAATAGCTACGATGATGATAATATGATGAAGAGAATATTAAATTAGCATTAGCCTAAGTTTGTTTAAGTTATATTTCATTTGAATTGATTTGAGCTGATAAAGACAGGTCTATGTTTTAACACAATATAATTGGTAAAAGCCACAACACATCTGTTCGTATGAGTGGTTCTTTCATTGCCTCCTGAGCAGCAGCTTTACCTTTAGCTCTGTATAATGTGAGTTAATACTTAAAATGCGTGACATGTTTCTTCAAAGGTTCAAAGAGAACATGCTCTGCTCGGGAGTTTTCAGACCTTTTGGCTCCTGAAACTCTCCAAAGCTCCGCTGGATAAACTAAAAAAATGTGTGCAATTCAGTTCCAACAAGCCTTTTCTCAGTGTCTGAAAAGACGATGTTTGGGAGGTTTGAAGGCTTTCACCTCCCAGCTTTAATACTTTCATGCTCAAAATCCCATCAACCACGTGTGCACTCAAACTTTACGTACAAACACAGAATACCTGAACAGTGTTTGTGTCCCAGCGCTGACGTGTTTGTGTTTTGTGTGTGCTTGCAGGCCTTCCAGCAGACACTCTGCAGGGCCACAGAGATCGCTTCCAGGAACAGTTTAAGAAGTATGAAGTTCACTTGCAGTCGCTGGAACACAGCCGGTCACGGTTTCGAGTGTGACCTTGAGGGCTGAGCTCTTAGCACCGTGTTGAATTAATTTTCTTTGTCAAACTCTTCTCGCCTCGTCTGTCCTGATCTCTCCGTCTCTGTGTTTCAGGTTAAAGGGTCTGTTCTATCGCTCCAGTAACTTGCAGTATTTCAAGAGGCTGATTCAGATCCCACAGTTGCCTGAGGTGAGACCACGCCCTCAATAAGTCCACATTTTAACCACATTTAAGCCTAAAGTGGACCCACTACGGTTGTTTCAGGTTTCTGTTCCCCGATGGATTCATTCATTTCCCATCAGAAAGTTCTGCCTTTTGATAGTTTATCTTTATATACCAGTTGTTTCAAACTCTAAAACAATTCTTGATTATATCTTGTTTGGGGCATGTCTGTTAAAGCCTGTTATAAGCCCACGAATAACAATATGGTGATTATAATTGTGCGGTGTGTTTTTTGGCAGAACCCGCCTAACTTCCTGCGTGCATCGGCTCTGTCGGAGCACATCAGCCCCGTGGTCGTGATCCCCGCAGAGTCGTCGTCCCCCGAGTCGGAGCACGTGGTGGAGACGGACGACCTGGTGGACACGGACGTCCCCGCGCTGCCGGTAACTAAACAAGAGAAGTTTCCCTGAGTGGTTCCTTCTTAAAATGCACTTCATCTGTTCTGTGTATGGTTTGAAGAAGGATGTTGTGTTTGTGGAAGTAGTCGTAAGGCAACAGGTGCAATGTGCTAAACTGAGGGACATAAAGCAGGAAATTACCTGAGGAGACTCTCCTGTGATATTTTTCAGATTCTTGGTGAGATTACGCTCAACATCTGGTTTATATTTATGTCACGGTGTTAATTATATTGACTTTCACATAGATGGCTGTTGGGGAAAAAAACACATGTCTTCTATGAAACATGATAAATAAAGTGGTAATTAATGGCAGTTTGGACCCACAATCCAGCTGCAAAACACCTGGATTATTATTAGTAAATGAGCAGATTGATGGAGGCTCCTAATAAATCTATTAGATGACATGAAATTGTACGAACAAACTCTAAATAGGTAATGACTGTGTTTCATAATAGCTGTGACTATGCGGTTAGAAAAAAAAAGGAAACTTAAAATAATTACTTGGTTTAGTCAATGACAACAATAAAATGGTACCAATGTAAGTTTTAATCATCATGATATATTTCTTTTAAACCTGCTCGTTTTAAACACACAGCCTGCTTTGGAGACCAAGTTTGACGACCTGTTTGGCACCTCGGCTGCCATTGACCCGTTCAACTTCAACAGTCAGAACGGTTTACGGAAGGACGACAAGTAAGGCCAGAAAATGTTCGATTTGCATGATTATAGTTGTGACTCTACAGATATGGATCTTTGGTTTGATTGTATAAAATAAGACGTTCGATTGGATGTATACAAACATTTCAGACAAAAATCAAGCCAAATTTAATTTGTATCTGTTACAAGTCACCCATGAGCCCTGATTTTACTTTTGATTGATGTTTTGTCTTCATCCATCAGAGACCGTCTGATTGAGCAGCTGACCAGGGAGATCCAGGCCCTCAAAGACGAGCTGGAGTCTTTCAGACTGGAGGTAAATATGTTCTTTATCACTCTTAACAGCTTACAGAAGTCATGTCTCGCACTCAAAGAAAGCCATCTACATTCTTTTCATCCTGCTCTCTCCCTCTGCTCCTCATCAGAGTGGTCGCTTGTGTCAGGCTCTGAGGGGGCGTGTCAATGAGCTGGAGGCGGAGCTTGCAGAGCAGAGCCACCTGAGGCTGCAGGCTGCAGGAGAGAGCGAGTTCCTGAAGGCGGAGCTGGACGACCTGCGGAGGGTCCGAGAGGACTCGGAGAAGGAGCAGCGGAGCCTGACGGAGATAGAGAGTAAGACTAGATTTGTAACTTTGGCGGGAAGCTTCTTGGCCACATTATTGTATGATTCAGAAAGATATTTATTACATCAAAATAGTTTGGAATCAAGCTTTCTTGCCAACTTAGAAGTGTTAACTGCTGAAATATAAAAGTTGGGGCAAACAAGGCAAACAAAATAAGAAAAATAACACCAGAAAAAAATAAAAGAACTCTTTGTCCATTAATTTCTCAAACAGTGAGTCAAAGCGAAAGGAAGGAGAAAAGTAGAGGTTGTAACATGAAAAATGAAAAAGGTTTAATTAAACTAGGCCTTCGTTGTAGCGATGACTTACCCACAGTTTTTGTCAATGGTTGTGTCTGCTAGTAACCGTGTGTGTCTGTCTCTCTCTATGTTGTGTGTGTCTAACCAGAAAAAGCTCAAGCCAATGAGCAGCGCTACACCAAACTGAAGGAGAAGTACTCGGAGCTGGTTCAGAGTCATGCCGACCTGCTGAGGAAGGTGAGGAAGACGAGTCTGACTTAGTCAAGTTCAATCAAATCCTTCTCTGTGTCCTTGTCCCCTCCTAAGAAAAACATCCAAGTTTAATTAAGATCTGTCCTCCAGCTGTCCTTTTTGTAATTCCCCCAAGCTGAAGATCCAGCCTCGGTCCTGATTATTTTGGTGTGTTTCTCTGCGTGTCTGCATCTGTGTCCCGTGTGTGGTGTGTGTGCGTGTGTGTGTGTGTGTGTGTGCGTGTGTGTGTGTGTGTGTGTGTGTGTGTGTGTGTGTGTGCAGAACGCAGAGGTCACGCGGCAGATGACGGTGGCTCGGGCAGCACAGGACGAAGTGGATGTAGTGAGGAGAGAGATGCAAGAGAAGGTGAAGGCCGCTCAGGAGGTTGCAGACAGACAGGTGAGTACGACATAAAGGTTGTTATCGCTGCAAAACACGCACAGCGGTTCAGGCCCCGTGCTTTTGACTCCGTGTTTTGCATTCGAATGATTGGCTGTTCAGTCCAACAATGCTGAACCGCATTACTGTAGGATGCATGATTAAAATAATGAGGTAAAGATTGGATTTTGGGGGATCCTCAGTGCAAATCATTTGGCTACAAAATGACCCAAACAGAAGAAACCTTCGATTAAAGTTTTTCTGTTTAAGGTGTTTAAACTGAGATGTTGTGAGGTGTCTAAAGAGAGATTTTTATTTCTTTTTTTACCCAGGAGCGGGACCAGCTGGAGCAGCTTCAGGAGCTGCAGAGAGAGCTGGTGTCCAGCAGGACCGAGCTGGACTCCCTGAAGACCACCATGGCCTCGTCACAACAGGTCACTCTCCTCTCACAACATGAGGCTTGAATCTGCTAAACTGGATCTACGAAGTTGCTGTGAAAAGTTACTGAACTAATTTATCACGGTCCCAATTAAAATAGATAGATAGATGGCTGCCGCAGGAAAGGGTGAAAAGATTAATGATGTGGAATCTTTCACTTACAAATCTGGGTGATCCTAATGGAGCACAGTCTGGATAAAATCTAAAAATGGGCTGCTGGCATCGTGCCATCTTACTCTCGCCATCAATTATTGGATGATCTCACTTACACCCCGCTTTTGTGGTATTAGTTACATCTTTGGTGCACAGACCTGTGTTTGTGAGAGAGTTCGACAGTATGGATCAGCTGTTCACAGGACCCGTTTTCTGAAACCTGAACCCAGAACAGTTAAGCACAGACTATAATATATACCAGTCTGTAACCTGTATCAGGCTGTTCACATTGTGAAAACTAAATCACTAAATCCTCCTGACTGCAACTGGGGAGAACAGATCCTGCTCCAAAGTGAAATGCTCCACGATCACCGCACGATTTGTAACGGGCGACGGAAAGGCATTTCTTTAAAAAGAAGAGACCAGAATGAAAACGCACAAGCCGTAAAATCTTGTCCAAACGACTGCTTGTGCTTGGTTTCCTTGCTTCAGTATACTCCCGCCGGCAAAAATTGATCTGTAGGAATATTTTGAATGGGATAATAAGGGGAGTGACAGCTCAGTAAGCCATGAATTCATGCTTTTAACTCTCACAACTCCACTGATTGCTCTTGACTCCCTTTGCCTTACCATTTCTGATGTTTTTCTGCACATGCAGCGCACCTCTTATCCGTCTCTGCCTCCCACTCCTGACGTCCCACTCTTGTTGCCACTTCTTATCAACTCTGTCACTCTTTCTGTCCTCCTCCATCATCGCTCTAATCTCCGTAGTCCTTTTCACACACAGCCCACGTTTTATCGCTCCTGTCACATGCCTTCAGCTTTCGCTAGCTCCTGCGTCCGTATTCTTAATGTTGTTTCTTCTTCATCTCTCTACATTTCTCGCTTTCTGTCGGACCTGCTGGGACTCAGGCTGTAAGTCTCACACTTGTTTTTCTTACTATGCACTCGCCACTGTGTATTTAACTAGTTAATAGTGCAAAAATGTAATTTCACAAACTTCCAGTACACAGGATCTGTTGTAACTCTTCACTCTGTTGCCACAGTTCATGTTTGTTGCATTGCAGCCAAGTTGCACAACCGCAGCTTGCCAGTGTTCTTTTGATTGTAAACTTAACCTCAACCTCTCTGGAGACAGTACGCCTCTCTGCAAACTTAAATGGAGGCAATATTGTTATAATCAGTGGCCGAAGATCAAGTGGTTTTTTTTTTCTTCAAACCACATCCTGAAATGTCATGTCGGCTACGTATTATCCTAACCATGTCTTCCTGTGGATTCATTGTTCCTCGTAATCATCTTCTTTTTTGTATCCCTCCATCTTTTTTCCGTCCTCGTAGTCGAGTGAGGTGCTCAGCACCCAGCTGGTCGCCCTGGAGTCTGAGAAGGCGGAGCTGGTGCAGTCCTTGTCGAAGGTGGAGGCGGAGTTGGTGGTCCACGGGGAGGAGCTAGAGCGAGTCCAGAGCTCGTTGGCGACTGAGAGGGAGAGCGGGGTGAAGACAGCCGAAGCCCTGCAGAACCAGCTCAATGAGAAGGTGAAGAATTGTCTTTCTTTAATCAATTACTTAATTCACTTTCTTAATTAGCTGTAATAAATCAAGCAGATGTTTCGGTTGCAAGTGAAGGACCCAGCACGTCAATGAATGTCTTATTAATTTTCACATTTTGACCCTTTGATATTTCTAATAAAGGCTTGTGTGATAAGTTCAACCGTGTGAGTCTTGTGTGTATTTGCGCCCACAGGAGAGCAGGGAGCAGGCGTTAGAGAGCCAGCTGGTTGCAGCTCGCTGGTCCAGCCTGCAGGGAGCTGTGGAGGAGGCAGAGAAGATCATCCAGGATTCGCTGGCTCAGATAGACGACCCGGCGCACATCAGCTGCACCAGCTCCGCAGGTCAGAGCAGCTGTGAGGGGATGCTAATTAGCACTGTGTGTGTTGATGTTTGTGTGCACGCTCACATGTTGTTGTTTTTTATCTCTGCAGACTACCTAGCATCCAGATGTCAGGCCTCTTTGGACTGTATGGACCGACTCCATTCTGCCAGAGAGGCCTTCCTGGCTGACAACACAGGTGAGAGTTTAGCTTTGTAAAGGTGAGCATTAGAGGTAAAGATATGTAATAAGCTAGTACATGCCCATACATTCTTTCGCTACTCAACATTGTCATGAAGACCGTCGTTATCAAACACACACCCTAAAATCATCATCATTAACGGCCCTGCGCACACACGCGGGTGTTCTCCGTTGTTTTGGCTGATGAGCTTTGCAGGGAACTTTGTGATATCGCCACTTTCTGAACCAATATATAAATGACAATGATGTAGGTGCAACATAATTAAGAAGTGAGGGTAAGTGTCAATCAGTACAGAGAGTCTGTACATTAGTGGAAACACTGGTGAGGATGTACAACAGGTGTGTGTGGGCTTTAAAACATGAATCATTAAAACAGAGCGGGCTGCCAGGTAGAGCCAAAGCCGACACAAGGTGATAACTGTACTAGTGTGTTATGATAAGAGGAAAAACTATTGTCATTTCCAAGCTAATTCCTTACTAGAAAACAAGTCTGACCACACGTATACGCTGTATTTTAAGGCGATGTACAGCAATAGCTGTTTGCTAGCTACTAGCTTATATGCTATTAGCTTGCTAATGTCCCTCCTAAATGCTCAGTTGTGATAAACAATGTTAATTTCTTTGTTCAAGTTTTTAGGAAATCCTTCCAACCATAATTATGTATAAATACTAGTAAAAACCTGAGTGTATTAAAAGTAAAAACATCAAACAAGATAAAATAGTGATGTAAAGTTATGTTAACTGAGGCAGGTGTGATTTCAAATCATTTGTTCGTCCAGGTGTGTCTGAGCTGGTACGAGTGGTGACCCAGTGTGGCCACCTGGTGGGCGACACCATCGTTCAGGGTAGTGCCACCTCCCACATGGTGCCCGCGGGGCAAGCTGATGGTAAGTGTGTGTGTGTGTGTGTGTGTGTGTGTGTGTGACAGAGACAGAGATTGTACTCTCCACTTCACTCCTGATATTATCTGTGGGCCCAGACATGTACACGTTCTGACATGTCTGTAAGTAGTTCATACCTCCTCATGTGTTACGTATATAAAGTAAGGTTGGGCCATTTGAGTTATGACTGTTGTCTCTGTAATTAGCCTGGATAAACATTGATGTCAGTGTGTAATCTTCTGGTTATGCCTTGTATCAGTCTATATCCGAACAGCCAAATTCTGCATGGACGAAAAACAAAGTTGCTGGCTTCATTCAGGAGTAATGTCTGCGGGATTTAGCTCTCTTTGTAGATAGTTAGCAGCCTAGACAAGTCTAAACATGCCTAAATATAATTGGCCAGCAGTCTTATTATTGCAACAAAAAAACAACAACATGGAATTAAAACTGGGTCAAACTGAAGTGGCGTCTGTAGCTGTGGCTCTGACAACCCTGTCTGTCCAGACTGTACCGAAACATTTGAATGAAGCATAAGAAAGTACAGTTTGATGCAAATCAGCTGGCTGTCCTGCATCTTGCAGCAGGCCGACGGCTGCCGTAGAGGTAGTTTTGGTTTCTCCTTGTCTTCTCATCCGAGTGGCTGTTTCAGCTGTTAGTTGACACTTTGCCTGAAGGGATGTCAGAATAATTAACACTGTAGCTGCAGCCACTAGTGGCATCGTTACACATCACAGTTTACAGAAGACACAACATGGTATTTTAATAGACAATGCCATTGTGGCATGCAAACCTACAATTAGTTTTCTTCAGTGTGTATTCTGTAGGTGTAATACTGGTAATGTCACTTCTTTTTCACTGGAGCAGCTCCACAAATAGTTCTTTTTATTTTAATGACGTGCGTCCTACCTCTCTCTGTCCCCGTCAGCCCTGTCAGAGAGCGTGAAGGCGTGCGGGGCTGAAGCTCTGGCTCTGCTGGGTCAGATGAAGCAGCAGAGCAGCCTGTCTGCAGCTGACAACGGCAAGCTGAGGGCGGCTCTGGAGGCCATCCTGGCCACTGCAGAGGTCCATACTTCATACATACATACTAATGTTTGCACTCTTGTCAAAATAAAACGGGACAAAGTGTCCCTAGAGTTTCTGTATGATGAGACCAGGAATCAGTTTGATTGAATCTAGACCGTGATGAAAGGGTTACTTTTGTTTGCTTTAATCCTGACTTCAGTCTCTCTTGTTCTCTTTCGGTCAGGAACTGCGTCCTCGGGGTTTGGAGCTACAGCAGGGGGAGCTGGGAGATCTAGTGGAGCAGGAAATGGCTGCCACTTCCGCTGCTGTGGAGTCGGCGGCTGCCAGAATAGAGGTTTGTGTGTTTAGCTGTGGTCATCTGGTTTCAGATGTTTTGTATTTAAATGCACTTGCTGTGTGTGTGTGTGTGTGTGTGTGTGTGTGTGTGTGTGTGTGTGTGT